TGTATCAGCAAGCCTCTGCATCAGCATCCTCTGTGTCAACAACCCTCCGTATCAGCAAGCCTCCATATCAGCAAGCCTCAGTATCAGCATCCTCCATATCAGCATCCTCAAAGACAAGAAGGCAGCAGAATAGTGAAAAAATATTTATTAGTTTGCACATCCATTCATCCAACACCAATACTAATGACTGGGTGCAATGGATACGTACATACAGTATGAGAGTACGTATGATAAGGAAGTACAGGCCAATTTTCATACAAGACCTGAGGAGGAATCTGAGTTTGATGAAGAACAACTGATTGACCATGCACTTGCCTCTGCAATGCATGCCACCAGATGGGCTGTAAATGCTTCATTGAAAACCTCACCTGGAGCTCTGGTCCACAATCGAGACATGGCAATGGATATTCCACTCATTGCTAACCTAAACATCATCAGAGATAAACGCCAACACATGATAGATGAAAATCTTAGCAGAGAGAATGCTAGAAGAATACCTTTCTGGTATCAGGTTAGCCAGCAGGCCTACATGAAATACTATAAACCAGACAAGCTATCCCAAAGATTGCATGGCCCCTATCCTATAGTGGAGATCAATACAAATGGAATGGTGGTTCTGCAAAGGAGTGCCAATGTTCGTGAAACAATGAACATCCCCAAGCTTGTTCCTTATAAGGGAACTGTCAATGCCAATCCTCTTGGTTTCCGACCGATTGTCATTGATACCCTGGCTACATGTCTTACCGAATGGTTAGACACTGGCACTGTTTCTCCTGAGAAATATTCTATGTCCCTTCATCCTGTTATTCATTTTCAGAGTGCGATTGGTTGGCACCATATGTTTACTGGTCACATTTTGCTCCAGTGGTTTACTGACCTTGATCTTCATTCTGGTTCTTACTCCCCGCTAGTATTAGGGGGCTACCTCGTGGAGTTCTTTCTTACCTCCTATATATCTTTATGGGAACAGAGAAATAAGGATCTCCATGGCCATACGCTTTCACAGAAACAAACAAATTATCGAAGGCGTGTGGTGCAGAAAGTTAGGGCCTTATTTGAGTTGAAGTCTCAAACCTGTCCATCACATGCACATCTATTCCCTGACAATATGGAAGCATTTTTATTGCAGACACCTACCTCCATGCTATCTTATTATCACCGAGCCTACAAGAAATCGATTCTGGCAAGTGTCACCCAAGCTATACATGCTTTGGTCACCAACACCCGCCCCATTACACAGTATTTTCAACCATTGCTTCATAGTACACAACCGCCAGAGAGCGTCACACAAGATGGGCTCATCTTTGATGCATACTCCAAGAAGCGAAGACACAAATCCCCTGCGTCACCAACGACTTCTTTGCTCCCAACCGTACCATCCAAACTACTATGAACCAATACTTCACTTAAACATGTCCTCTGAGTTGAGCCCTGGGCCTACAATGGCCTATCAGTGTACATACAACCTGGTTGCGCCTCCATAACAACTCCTCGGAGGGATGTGCCGCCCCTCAGAGCAGCTAGGAGCATTCTTTCTCACAAAAGCAATGGTTCTGGCCTTCCTAGTGCCTCTTCTAGTTCACGAGGTTAAATATAATATTAAGATTTTTTTTTTTGTCAATGCCAATCCTGAAGACCCAGCAACAATAGAGGAGGAACCCTCTATTGAAAATTTTCAAGATATGATTGCTACAACAGTCTAGTTAGTAATACTGAAGGCAGTATTTCTGTTGGGGACAATGCAATGGATATGTACATACAGTATGAGAGTATGTACAATAAGGAAGTACAAATATGTATACGTACGATACGGAATCAGTATGGTTGGACATACCATTCCTACCTACATATCATAAGGTACCATTCATATATATACTTCATTCGATCCATTGTACTGAGAGGTCTAAGAATACCAGGTACAATTTGAGAACATCTCACCAAGAATAAAGATGTCACGAGTCCGGAATAGGAGAACACCTGTGTAGATTCAGTACCAGATCTACACAAGGATCTAATCAGAACTTTGGAATTCTTGTGAATGCAAATGCGCTCAGTAATCTTTAATCTTATAATTTCATATTCATACACACTAAAAACAAAGTACACCTAATCTCTTGCACTGGGTTTCTGCACGAGATTACGTGTACTCTTAGTAGGTGTTAAGTGTGTAGTATGAAAATTGAATTATAAGATTAAGATATAAGACTAAGATTCTTGCGCTCCGACGTGAGCTTTCAATAGCTCTGATTAGATCCTGTGTAGCTCTCGGTACTAAATCTACACAGGGTTCTTATTATTCTGATCTACTGACATCTTWGTTCCGTGCGAGGTATTCTATTTCTGATATCATGGACCTCTTACGATCCTCGGACCTCTTACGTGTTCGGTGTTCGGTTCTCTTATGATGCATCCTATGATACATACATAGGAATCGTACCTTACGATAGGTACGTAGGAATGGTATGATCCTTCATTCCTTTCTTCGGAGCTTCGTAGTATCGTACGTAATGATTCATCGGTACATACGTCCGTTGCATTATCCCACACAGTAATACTGTCTCCAGTATTACTATTAAACTGTAGCAATCATATCTTCGATATTTTCGACAGGGGGTTCTTCCTCCGCAGCTGGTTCTTCAGGAGTGGCATTTGCAGCATTAGTTTCTTTGTGAGGAACAAGCTTTCTKATGTTGACTGTCTCACGTACGTTGTCACTTCTTTGCAGAACCACAGTCCCATTGGTGTTGATCTCCACAATGGGGTAAGGACCATGCAATCTTTGGGACAGCTTATCTGGTTCATAATGTTTCATGTAGGCCTGCTGTCCGACTTGATACTTGAAGGGTATTTGCCTCGCATTTTCTCTTCTAAGGTTCTCATCGATTTGGTGTTGTCGTTTATCTCTGATAAGATTCAAATCAGCAATGAGAGGAATGTCCATCACCATATCTCTGTTGTAAACCAARGCTCCTGGTGAGGTCTTCACTGCTGCATTCACAGCACATCTGGTAGCATGCATTGCAGAGGCAAGGGCATTGTCGATAATCTGATCCTCATCAAACTCATCCTTGGGTGGCCTTGAATGAAGAGTGGCTTGTAGAACATTGGCAATTGTCTGGTGCACTCTCTCACAAACTGCATTTGCCTGTGGATTCTTGACAGTAGTTTGGACGCTCTTAATTCCATACTGATTCAGTAACTGTTTGAATGGGGTCCCGATGAATTCTGAGCCATTATCATGGATGCACATGTTGGGTCTTGGATATCTTGCTAACCAACAGTTAGAAAACTGCTCAGCCACATGCTCACTTGATTTGTTGTTGATTCTGATGATTTCYAATARGTTVGTGACYRKATCAATGCAGGTRAGWGCATTGATCACTAATTCTGTTTCATCTGGAAGAAGGATTTTCCAGGGGCCAATCAAATCAACACATACTTCATCCCATGGGACAAGCTTTGCCTTGCGAGCTGGTAATAGTCCATGTCCCTGTCCTAGTTGTTTGAATCGATGGCACTCATCCAGACACTGATATTGTTTGCACCTTTGGCTCAGTCTTGGAACATAGAACCTAGCACTGATAGTCTCATAAAACCAAGTGCTGCCACAATGCCCTAACAGTAGATGATACCACCTGAGTGTCTTGTCTACAAGGCCCTCAGGCAAGTAGATCTTCCAATTGTTGTTGTCATTCGTGGATACCGTGAGTAACTCAAAGGTACCTATCTTTCTCTTGATATAGTGTTCTGGGTCGGTTTCAAGCAGGTGTTGACACTGTGGATCCGTGAGCTGATAAGTATAGAGGCTTGCATTTGTTATTGGGTTCTCCATTTCTGATACTGGGGGTAAGTTAAGCAAGCACTCATGTAGTTCTGGCTCCAAGTAAAATACATCCTCTGGATCCTCTTGAGCTACCAACTCTTTGAAATTCACAATTGTTCCTTTACTTTTCTCATATATTTTCTTTTTGTTGTCCCAGACAGTGCACTGATCCATTCTGGGCACTCTGGAAAAACAGTCTGCAAGAACATTCTTCTTGCCTGGGATGTATTCCCAGTTAATATCGAAGCCTTCCAGGCTTAGTTTCCACCTGAGAACCCGGGACTGGGACAGTGTCCTGAATATAAGGTTTTTTATGATCGGTGTAGATGTAGATCTTGCCCCCGTAGAGCATATTACGGTATTCTTTGAGGCACAGGATGATAGCGAGTAGCTCTTTCTCCATAGTTGTGTAATTCATTTGGGTTTTGTTCAGTTTCTTTGACCAATATGCAATTGGTTTGCCATTCTGGAGGATTGCTGCTCCAAGTTGATAATCAGACGCATCGGTGTAGATATGAAAGGGCTGATTGAGATCGGCAAAGGTGTTGATTGCATCATGTGCAAGCAGCACTTTCAT